GGTTGTTGCTGTGGGGAAAATAGGAGAAGGGAGGAGCATTAGGTAAGTTTGCCACATTGAGTTATTTATAAAAATAATAAAGGCAGGATAAAAAAAAATTAAAAAAAGAAAGAAAAGAAACTCAAGTGCTTTTTTCAGACATGTGTGAATTGGTCTGGAATCAAATCAAAATCAAACTCTTGATTTATCTTTTTTGCTCTATTTGTGGAGTACCCCGCACATTGAAACCCCCCACCTATTGTGTGTTTGGAACAATGTCTTGCTTTCCATACAATTAGGAGAGGTTAGTGTGGGTCCCCAAATAGAGTAAAGCTAGAAGAGTACCTTATTTTGCCTTTGGCAAGAAATGAAGATGAGCATGCACTTGACTGGGCTTGCTCTTGAAAACTTTCCTTATGCTGTACACCAGTTACAGACATCCAATGTGTTGCATTAGCTTCATTGGTTCTATGCAATCATCCAAGAATATGAACTCCAACATTTATTGACATGACCCTGCAGGAGCAATCACAAAATGGTGTGTTCCCTTACTTCAGGCTAGAGGGCACCACCTTTGAGCTAATAAGGGGAACAAAATGAAGCTGCATATATAACGCTACCCTAAACATCAGTCACAACTAGTTAATACGATAGAGTTCCAATTCTGTTTATTGCTGAGGCTAGGTAGCCAGGGAGAAAATCTGAGAAGTTGGTCTTAATCATTGCGTGGATGAAAGCCTGATAGGTCCTTCAATTGAGTGAGAATTGCTCCGTGAGTTTATTCCATTATCTCCCTTGGAGATAATGTTTTTGAAGCAGGGAATGATTTTTAATTTCTAAAAAAATAAGCATTCTGAATTCTAATATAAATGAAAAGTGCAAATGGAAACATTAAGGTATAAGAAAAATCTGACAGCTCAGCCCCAAAAGAGGGAAAGAAAGGATAGTGGTTAAACTGTGCTTAAAAACTGGTCAGAATACAAAACAAAACAACTCTTTGTTCTTGTTCACAGCTGAATTGTAGAGGTTTTGAATTTAGAGCAATGTGGATTTTGAATAGCCTCCATACTCCCAATCCTTTCCTTGCTTAATTTTTGATCTAACAATGATAATAGAATTGACACTGCAACTGTGCTAGTTTTTGCATACGAAGGACATTGCAGCTCATGCAGCGTGAGGTGTAGATCTGAGCCACACAAAACAAGAACTTCCCATATTGTGGGGAGATGTGAGATCTCATAAGCATCAGTGAGATTCTAGACTCCTAAAAGAGGCTGAGCCCATTGGTAAAATTTAAACATTTTAAAAGTTATTAGCAGATTGGATCTAGAACCTATATCCTATATGGTTGCTGATCCTTTTGCTTGTTTACAAACAATGAGTAATAATGCATGTCCAAAACAAAGCCATTTAAATAGGGTTAAACTTCTCAGTTCTCAGAGATGCTATTATAATTCTTTTTTGTAGGAAAGGTTGGGTGACCCGCTTGGCTAGAAAGGTCCAGTGGTGAGGTCTTGTGCTGTGGCATCCTCTTCTGATTAACCGAACTAGGGATAATGCGATGGGAATATAAAGCCAATATTTCTGGGCCCTTGATGTTCGATTCTGGTTGTGTTGCTTCTGTAATCACTCTTTGTTCATGTTTGCTATTGGAGAGGTTTGGTGAAGATACAGAATTATGTCTCTTGGATGGTGGCGGGCTGTAGTTCTGAAATCTCACTGTTTTCACTTGCTGAAAGTAGAATAAAGAAATCTGGAGTTAATTTATTCCCAGAAGGCTTCCAGAAACACTGCTATGCCACTGCATGCACATATCCAAAACAAGAAAACTAAATTCTGTTTTACAATTTCCCTAGCAATATACGAAAAGACAAGATAGCTTAGCCTTCTCATAAGATATCATCTGGTATACTTTAGCACATTGCCCAGATTTTTGAAAAGGGAGTTAATGGTTGTATCTACAGAACTAGGTTGTCTTGGAATTTTTTTGTGAAGGAGCAAACATTTCTATGAAGTGCATTATGTGAGTCTTCTCCACAATTACTAAGCCATTTATAGCTGAATTTTAGCAAGAGCAGTCAATAGTTGACAGAAACTCTTCTTTGTATGGAATAGAAGCTGTGCTATGGATCAGGAAATATAGATTACTAACTCATAAGTAGACTTACGTAAGGATGATTTAATATGGAAGTAAAATCAGTCCACCATACAATGTTCTTATGAAGAACACTGAAATAGTATTTCTATTGAAATATTGAAGTTAACTGAACTTTAAGTAGTACTATATACATTATCAGTATTACAGTACTAGTTTAGTGAGTGAGAGAGAGAGAGAGAGAGAGAGAGAGAGAGGGAGAGAGAGAGGGAGAGAGAGAAGGTGTTTATTAATTCCAGTTAGCCTCAGTCTTGAAAATATTTAATCTCAAAGTATAATCTTCAGGAATAAGGACAATTTTGTGTGTATTGGGAGAACAGATTGTATGTTGTACACCTGGTGATGTTAATGAAAAAATGGGGTACAGTGTGCACCTGCTTGAGAACTGCTTCCTGAGAAATCATCAGTGATGCTGAATTTTTAATGTGATAGAAAGGTAGAAATAATTAGATACAAGTGTCGGCCTTGTGGGGCAAACCAGATAGGAAACATGATCAGATGAGCTAATTCTACTTTATTGTAAAGCTACATTGACAGAATCTTGCAAGTCTGAAAGAAAACCCCCCCCCGCCCCCCCCCCGTCTCCTTTACAGCCCAAGAAACTAGGGAGGGTCTCTTCTGAGCCTCTTGCCCTGCCCATTATTCAGCTGCGGGCTATGCTCTCTCTTATCTAACTGCTCCCTAGGCAGCATCTCTTTGCCCAGTCTCCCAAGGTCATTCCCACATACCATTGCAATAAGGGAAACAATTATGTTAACTATATTTAATTTAAATTTAGATTTTTGCAATAGGCCAAATACAGCTTTTGGTCCCAAAAATGCAGCACATTTCTGCCCTAAACCATATCACTAAGTTCTCACAGAATTGTCAATACTTTGTATTATCTTAACATTTGACAACTATAGCTCTATTATTGCATGGATAGACCCTATTATTACCTTCTCAGTGGTGTTTTTGAAGGTGTCTGGTTTCACCAGAATGGAAGGTGGAGCAGATACAGGTGGCTTTACAGCTAGTTCATTCTTTGGTACTTCATTGGTATCCAAAATGACTGAGCTACACACAGAAGGAGCTCTGCTGCCTCCGCTTCGGGGCAATAGCACTAAGGAAGAATTATGGGAGGTGCTCAGTTTGATTCCTGTATCAGCTGAGCCAACTCCTCGGGGCAAAGTGGAAATAGACTGATATATTGGAGTTTGTTGGGATCGTACTGGAGTTGGAGGAGGCCGCCGAAGAGAGTTGGTGAATGGAATAAGGGCTCCTGGTTGCAAAGGTTTCTGTAAAGATCCATCTAGGAGACAAATAATTAAGGACAGGAGGGTGAAGAAAACAGTAAGCCCTTTAGAACCACATTGCTGAGAATTCATATTAAAAAGGGTGGGAAAAATTAGTTGACTTGCAGCGTTTAACTGAATCCCAGACTTTGGGCTGATCAACACTATATGACATGCTACTAGAATGTGAAGAGCTGACAGGCAGTTGCAATGGTAAGTAACACTGTAGTAGAGCACATGGTTTACACGAAGCATGTTCTAAGCTCATTTCCTCCCAAACTAATGAACCCCAGGAGGCAGAGCTGGAAAAGGATCTCATCATAACCTGTGGTCCTCCAGCTCCATCACCTTCAGCTACTGAGGAAAAAAATCTGCCACACTGCTTCAACTCATTTTCCCTTTTGCCCCTTATGCTGAGTGCTTTCTCCCAGAAACACAAGTTCAGTGGTCTAGACTTTGCATGAAAATTTGTTACATTGACTCTGTCTTGGAGAGCCGTAGCCTGTAGAGGAGACAGCACTGGACTAAGATGGACAACAGTCTGACAGAGTGGAAACATGCCTGTATACTCCCTAACATTCACCTTATGGTACTCTCCTCCATTTAAATACCTACTCAAAATCTAGCTTTGGCAGAAAAGATTTTTAAGTGTTGAACTGAAATAAACACTCAGCATGTGCTTTGGAGCTTGCATATATTCATCCAGTTAAAGTTGTGTTTGCCTTTCTTCCCTCACCAGTTTTTTTTTTTTTTTAATGATTGAATCACAGACGTGTTTCTCTAACTATGTACTTTGTAAATGTGGTCATGGAATTTTGCTTCATTTCATTACCCAGTTCATTACTTTTATTTGTAGAAGCCATATTTGTTTCATCACTCATAGTTTTTGTTATTTGATTTTTTTCTTTTTGCACTGTCATTTATCTCGTTTTGCACTAGCTGCAGTAGATTGTTGCTCCTGATAGCTACTTTATTTACTCAAAGTGTCTCTTATACTATGCTGTTCTGTGGCAGAGTGTAGAAAAATTGTGACTTATTCATAGGCTCCAACCTTGATGTTTTCTTGCGGCCCTCCCAATTTTTCCTTAGAACGCCCAAATGAATGACAAATGCCCAGAGCATTAAGGGTAAAGAAGGTAGAAAAGAGTATCTATTGCTCAGATCCTGTTACAAAGGCCCTTGGAGACCCCACCATTCCCCCAACAGAAAGAAGGGTACAGACAGGAGTTCTGAATAAGAGTCTCATTCATACCCTTTGTGCACTTAATTTGGAATGAAAGAAGACTGAACCAAATGGATCCCATTCTGCTAAGCATTTCATTTGTTCTAAAACAAATGCGCATAATGGTGTATAAAATACCATGTTCATTGATGATGCCTAATAATAGTTACTATTGTCCTCTAAGCTCATTTATTTCTGTGCCTAGCAGATTATTTTCTGCCAATATAATTCTATAGCAATTCTACATAAATATTGTTCCAGAATGAACACTGACCTCATTCAACTTCAAATAACTATATAGACAGCAGATTTTTAAAGTTGCTGCCAACACTTTGTATTTTATCCCTTCAGTCACTAAACAAAGACCCTGAACATTCCAGGAACACAGAGAATTCTAACTTGATTTCTCCCCTCATAAAAATGTATCTGCCACATAGTGTCTAAACAGTTGATCCTCCTACACCTTTCGGATTGTTCCAGGATCTGTGTAATGCATCCTTGCCTTTGGAAGGGCAGACTTCTGATCCAGTTTATTATGTTTACTGCATCTGACCTGAGTGTCTGTGTATAATGAAAGGTTTCTAGTCATCCCTCTGCCTTTGGGAAACAGATCCGCTTCTTTGTTTCTCATACTAGGACTTACTTTTCTTATTGCTACTACGTCCTCTTCTCAGGGATGCTGCGTGCCCTGAAGCGCTGGGCAAAGAGAGATTCCTCACAGGTGAAGCCAGAGATTTCAGAGGTCTGCTTTGTCCTGGGCGATTCTCTGAGATGCTTCCCTGGGATGAAAGTGAGGAAGTGGATAATGTCCAAGTTGCATAAAGGGAAGGCATTTTTGAATCAGAGAAGCTGGAGGATTTTCTGTTTGTTCAGGAGAGCAAAATAAGAGGGAGAGAGATGGTTCATTAGCAAGCAGATGTCTTTCAGGTCTCTAGGTAGGAAACACAGCAGTAAAATTCAGGTTCCGGAATTTAATTTTTTTATTAGAAAAGTAAAAACAAAGTGCAGATCAGTCCACATCAGCAATCATTTGTACATTCTGAACTAAAATGTCCTTGCAGATCATTTTAATCTTGCATTTAAACTGTTTTCCTCAAGCACCAGATTTTCCCCCCATCACTCTTCCAGACAATTAGAATTGTAATATTAATGTTGCAGGTTCTGCATTTCCACAAAGCAAACTAAAACACCGTGAGTCATCTTTTAATGATAAATCGCTCGTGCCTATTATTACTACTTCTACCCAACTGTGAATATTTGAACAACCATGACATGCAAAACATCTGACCCTCCCAGAAAGTGTGCCATTTTGTTCTGACTTTACTAGTAATGTTGGATTATTTCCTGAAGAGGATAGTAAGATAAGGCTGTAACAAAGTTGGATCACTTCTTAAGAGATCAAAGCAGCCTGTTTCAAACTTAGAAATTTTCAAATTCAAAACATTTTGCACAAATCAAAACCAGAAAGATAGGGTCCCATTCAGGCGTATGCCCACAGGCAAGTTACTACTTTGGTTAATATTAACAGCATAGATCTTTTGGCAGGGTGAACAAATTCATTGTATGGGAATGTTTGCAATGCTTCTGTGACTGACGAGTCTACTGATCTGAATTAATAATATTTAAGGTGTTTTTATTTTTAGCTTTTGGCTTTAGTCTACTATTGTTGAGGCTCTATGCCTCACACAAACGTTCCTGCCTCTGTTTAGCCTGTAAGCCAGCTGTAATGCTCTTCACAACTATGCATATATGTACATGTTTAAGGTCTGCAATTACCTATAGAGTTCATTTTTCCCACTATGCGTTTACACAGTTAAGAGAAACTTGACTGGACAGGGTGGAAATGGTAATGGGACTGGTACCTGTGGTTCTGCTTTATGAGGCAGCAGATATTTACTTGAGAGCAAGCTATGCAAAATAAAAGGAAACATGGGATGAGAGATGGAGAATAAATGTGGACGGACAATTTATGTATTCATGATTGCCAAAATTACCTGTTACCCAAGTAAATCACTTGGAAATAAAAATCAGTGGAAGGTCATAAGTATGTGCAAACGTATCTACCGTTAATGTCATGTTTTCTAGTTTATATGGAGGAATGAGTATGGGAACAACTGCAAAATTTATTCTGTCTCTCAGAAAATAATATAATAAGGAAGTTGGTAAATGGACCGTTCAGTAGAAGACACTAAGTTAAAAAAGTGCAAAAGGACTCTTCAGCTGTAGCAGTTCAGAATAAGAAAGAAGGACCATTTTGGTGGGTGGGAGTGGTAAGTTTTTGAGGGGTTTAATAAATGGTCAGGGAGCACGACCTTGTAAAATCACCATGTTCTTCAGCATAACTCACAATTTTCATTGTCCCTAAGGTAAACCTTATATGGACAGTGATACTTCAAACGTGGTATATTTGTGGCCATAAACAAGAAACCAAAGAAGTGCAAACAGGATATCAGTCAGAATTTTGCCTGGTTGTAGGCATGGACCATCACTGACCCAAAGAGACTGACTCATTCCAGCGGTAGGAGGGACAGTAAAAGTTTCTAGAGGGAGTAAGGCCCACAAACTGAACATATGCTAATATAGCAACTAAGAAGAAACTCCCTCTGGAGCAAGAAGCATTTATATTCAGGCAGTGGGTAGAACTGAAGAGCAGACTCAGCTAATTTTAGACAGTTACTGGTGATAGTGCCTGATTATATCAGAACCTTACCCAAGGCCTGAGGCATTTTAGATAATTAAGCTTGCTCACAGCTTTGGAAGGGACAGACACATTCCTTGAATATGCAAACGGGTCTCCTATAAGCAAGCTTCAGTTGATCTTTATGAAGTTGTGCATTATAAAGGCTGTGACAATAGCTTAATACCATTTTGGTATTTGCCTCTCTATTGTAATCCCAAATGGGAGCTTTGGCAAGCTAGCTTCGAGCTATCTTAGTTGAGCTTTGCTTTCAAGGAAAAAGAAAAGCATTATGAATGAACAACAGTCTTGATTCAGAAAGGATCGTTCTTTACTGTTAAAAATTTAAGGTGATAAAAAAACAAAAAACCAAAACAAAACACCAGCAGCCAGCACTACTACACCTCTGAGGCCAAACAGGGCAAAACAGAGGTACCTACTGCTTATACAGGTAGTCCCCAGTTTAACAACAGGTTCCATTCCCAAGGTCTGTCCTTTAGTTGAATTTGTATGTAAGCCAGAACAAGATTATTGTATAAGTGGTATTGCATAATGAACTCAAACCACTGTGTATTTAAATCAAATCATTGTGTATTTAACTCTAATTTTGCTACAATAGGCTCCATCTTAACTATGGGTTGTCCATAAACCAGACGTTCTTAACCCAGGGACTACCTGTACTTAAAGAGACTTCTTGATGAAGCACCAAGGAAGCAATGCTCTTGAAAGACAGAAGTCAAGGAAGTTGTTATACTCTTTCCCACTTGTAATTCCATTTTTCCAACTGTGGGGTTTCTCCCCCTTTTTCTTTGAAAATTGTTGTAGTCCAACAATGGTTGGACTGATTATTTCTTTGGTCATCTTCTTCCCCCGACAAGGCCAACAAGGTCACAGAGTTCTTAAATCCATTGAATTGTTTGAGAGTACCATCAATTTCTGCACGAGCAGTGTGCTTAAATAACCTATCTAAGTGCTCCTAACTTGCTATGAACCTAAGCCATGGAGCACCTTTTGTGCTTCTCAGGGAGAAGAGAAAAAAAAACAGCACCTTGTAGTCCTTTCTGATAATTTCCCATGACTATTCTTTGCTTTGAAAAAAAAAAAAAAGATGTATGTTTTAATAACGGGGCAGTGATTCATCACACTAAGGAAAGCATCAATTTATTATATACTGGTTTCCAAAGGATAATATTTATTATTATTATTATTATTATTATTATTATTATTATTATTACAATAAACAAATATTATTTAATAATATAATAAATATATTATTATTATTAATAATAATAATAATTTATTATGAACTGGTTCCCAAACTGGTGTTCATAACTAAGGTACTTTGTAAAGCTGCTTCCAATCTCCCTGGGCTCTGTGTTGGAATGTTCACTTTATTGATTGGGTTTGATTGGAGACCAAATCATGATAAAATTATTCTGAGGAAATTTAGTGCATATCAGAAGGCATAATTCTGGGCCCAAAGAGGCCCTGGTGTTTCCAGTTTAAACTGAGCAATTTAACATGGTAAAATACAAGCAAGGGAAGAAATGAGAAAAGAAACAATAACATGGTTAGTTAGGTAGCTGTTTGAGCATTCCACATCTCAAACTACAGACTAAAACCTGTCATTTTTCACTCCATTTCCCTGCAGTTCATATGTTCATGAATTACAACATTCAGTTATCCAAACATTACATGGTAATCATCTCAAGATACACCATTTTGAAAAATGACAAATTATCCTCTCAAAATTAATATAGGGACTTGAGCGATCCACTCAAACTAATTTGTTATCTAGCTACTATGGTTGAGTTGCATCATGAACAAGCATGTCCTTTTTCTCTCTCCTCTGCTATTATCCATTCTGATTAAGGAGACTAGGCACTGAAGAAGACCATCTTTTATTTAAGGTCAGATTTTGTTTTCATTTTAGAAGGTGTGCTCTCAACCTGTGCATTTCTTTAAGTTTCTTTTTCAACTGGGTCATTTGCGTTTATGTTTATAAACCTCATGTTGGAGGGAAATAGATTAGTGATATCTTATCTTTAGGGAAAAGCCACCCATAATAATTCAGAAATAATATATGATTTGAGTAGAGTTTTAAACAAGCATGACGGCATAGGTTAAAACCTTGAATTCATACCTGCAGCCATCAATCACACTGATGCAGTTTGATTAGCACTTCCCATTTCTAACTGAAATCGAGAGTAGAGCCAGAAAGATGACAACTAATCATCCTTCAGACAAGATCTGGTAAGTGTTTCTACTTCTGTTTGCTTGGATGCCAACAGAACTCTCAGAATGATTGGGAACCCAGATGGTGTGGCAGTTCTACCCTTATTCAAGCACATTCTAACAGTGTTCCTTCATATTTCGCTACTGTGTATGGTAAGCCAGGGGAGAGAGGGTATTACTCATGTGCTACTGTGCACATTAAGATGAATATCCTTGAACGAAGCTCACTTCCTGTGACTATACTCCTGTCCATGCAAAGTAGTTTTCTTGGCAACAGTACAGAACAGTTTGTCAACTGCCTTGTTCAGTGATATGTTTCCCAACTTACAGACCTGGGACTTCCTAGTGGTCTTCTATCCGAGTACTAACCATGTCTGACCCTAACTAGCTTTTTTGAGATCAGTACGGTCAGCTAGCTGCTATCATCTGCTATAGATCTGTTCCTCTGCACATAGTTTACCAAGGGTTTATAGTTCAATAGAGACAAGAAATTAAAGAGGACAAATATGGAAGATACAGGAAAAGATTACAGCACTAATTCTACTTTTCATCTGAACATAGAAATTGACAGGCAAGATGTTTTTCATAGCATTTTTTGCCACCAGCCAAGGGAGATTGTTAATTTGAAATTAAGAAAGGCTAATCAAATGGCACTTGGACTACAATCAACTGACATAACTTGTCTGGTCTTTGTGTCTAAAAATTTATTAATGTATTGCAGAAGATGACAAGTTACATGACCCAAGAATTTACAATTTAAAATTTGACATAAGAAAAACAAAAGAGGAAGGGAAGGGAAAGTCTGGAGACTGTTTTGGATAAAACCCGAAATGGTCACCTTTGGGTCTCTGATCTGAAATCCAGACCTGCTTGAGAGGCAAATTTAGGACCTCTAAGTTGTGAAGTTGGCTTGATCTTTCTCAGAACTAACATTCATTCAGGGCCATAAACTGAACACAGAGTTTACCAAAATTGCTGGGAAGGCCACTTATATTCCTTTGCAAGTTATTGCTTTGATTTCTAAAAGAATGGCAGAAGAAAAATATCCCCAAATTCAGGTCTGGACCAGTATATTCTATTCAGACAAGCCAGCCATCAACAGGCACATAGAGATAAACAACATCTGCACACTATTCAAAAGAGACAAGAAAAAGGAAAGAAAAAGACCAGAACATCTCCTCACCAGCAGTCAACACCCAAATAAGCAGATTAACACCAGGATTAACACCAGACAAACAATCAAGCAGTAAACAACAGCCTAATCAAGGAACTACAAGGAGATAACCACACCCCCACTAACACTGACAGGGCAAAATATTGTATATAAACAGAGAGCAAACCCCACTCCTATCTAGCAGTGAAGATGTTACCTAGCCAGGTAACAAAACGTCTGCAAGAAAACAACCAAGCTCAGAGAACCCCAAGGACTCCGGTACATTCTGCCCAGCTATTTTCCTTTTCCCACTAAACCTGGGACAAAACATAAAAAACTTTGCTGCAGCATAAATGTCTGGAAAGATGAACTCAATTTTACTCATTATCAAATAGCTGAGTACATTGTATTTTACTTTTCAGTTAATGGTGATTACAGGCAGATTATCTTACTTTTCAGCTAATGATGACTAAGAGGAAACCTTTGAAGAACAGGATGAGACTGGAAAAGCAAATCACTAAATGAGTAAACTGAAAATCTATGGTGGTATAATCTAAGAATGGCAGGATTTTCCTCCCAATGCTGTTTTATGACTATTTCCTCCATTAAAATAAACTTTTCCAGCCTGTGATGTTCCTGCAGGACCAAGTTTCTTCTACATATTTCTTTACTTCCTTGACTTAACTTCAGTAACTCCCTTTTATCTGAGTAGCCAGGCCTGCTAAGCATTTTCAGAGTAACCATTTTCTATTCCCAGGACAGAGGTTGTTTTGAGGTGATTTCATATGAAAGCAGAACACATTTAGGGGATTAGGGCGGTTATCTCCACAGGTCTTCAGCTGCAGCTTCAGCTTTATACAGGACTCCAGGCATATTGTCATACATACACCCGTGTCTAACCTGTAATATATGCAACTAGGAGCTACAACAACTCACAGTTAATTTTTCAGAACTGCCAAAGATGAAAAATCTCTAAATTATGAAACTATTATAGGAATAGTTTTCTCTGGTGAAGTAAAACTATAGAAAATACATTTATATTGTCTCAATAGTCTGACTGAGGGGTGGGAAACATGCAGTTTTGGAGATGTTTTGTTATTTCTAGGTAGCCCCACCACTAGAGTCAATTAACTCAAGGTAACCTAAAAGATAAGAGACTCTGTGTTCACCAAATTTCATTTGATTTTTGTTTTAGCTAATTCAGGAAGAACTGACCTATTGGGTATGTTTATGGTGAGTTGGGATATTGATTCCCACTCCCTGTAAAACAGGAGGCGGGGCAAAAACTTGGTGTGCTTCAGTTTATGTTCCAGCCTCACGGAATAACTTGCTGCCAGATATCTTAATAGCACCCTCCCTGATGATATTCAGAAAGGCAAGCTCTCCTGCAAAGCTTTTAATTATTGTTAAGTATTTATGATTTTCAGAACTGAGCATGACTCATCATATGGACATTAGTGTGCTTATGTAGTTATGTTTGAACTTAATTATTTAACGATTTTATGTTCACTGTTGTAAGCAGCTGGGAGTCCTTAGAGAGCCAGCGATATACTGTATAAAATTCTGTAAGTAAATAACTGAGCAAGCAAGCAAATAAATGGTTTAGAGAAAATATTTCGTACTGTGCTGAATGGGACTGAGGCTCAATTTAATTGAGCAACCATTTTTACAGCCAGATACTGTACCTCTCAGAAGCCTATGATCATGAAGGCAACAGAATTCCCATATGGTTTGCCCATCTTGATTATATATATCTTATTTACTAATTGTTGAATTTATACTCCAGCTTTCTGTTTATTTCAACATTTAAGGTAACTAATGATAATATAGAAATAAGCTATCTCTGAATGCAAAGGCTCTTATGCAGGCAAAATAATTAATAGGATTTGATAGATCAATTTTTGTACCTGACTCTTGATAAGTTGAATATCATAAGCAAGGCTTGGACATAAAGAAGCTACTTCTTTTCCCCCCTCCTGGTTTTTTTAAAATTTCTTTTCCATTTTTCTCACCTTTTTGATTATTTCTTACCCCCACTGCTTTCTACTGGGGATTCTAGGGGACAGGATTTTGAAAAGTCATAGGATACCAAGTCAGAGATGCTAGACAGGGACCAGTTTTCGTGGGGAAAAATGGTGTGTTCATTTCCATAATACAATAGTTCTTACTAAACTTTCTGGTTAGATGTTCCTACAGATCAAATCTGAATGCATTAAAGAATAAATATGCTTCATTTTAAAAATATGTGATTCAAAAATCTAAATAATGGCAGGCTAATCAAGTCTTCGTAGCAGCTTCTACAGGTCTTATGATAACTTGCAACCTTACTGAAGGTAACAGCAACTTACTATTTCACCTTTTGGACTGAAATAATTGTAATGCCACTTCTATCCCTATGACCACCTTGAGATCTGTCCTGAGCACTGCTCAGCTTGGCAACACTTCATGCATTTAAAGATATGGACTATAATCTACTCCAGTTTCTAGGATGAGAAATTTGTTAATTTTTAAGGCACCACAAAGGTCCTTGTTAAAAAGGTTCCCTAATGGTTATTTAATCACCTACAAAGCACATAGTGTAGCAAATGCTGCAAAAAGGTTCATTGACTATTGATGCCTGCTCTTGGATCAACTTCTCATGGTGCTCTCCAGAGACCACAATGTTTATTTGTTTGCTCACAAACAAACAAAAATAGTCCCTCTGTGGCCCTGTGCTGATCTACTACAAACCTTTGTAGCAAATGCATTGTTTCAATTAATAAATATATTATTTTGATTTCATTATCCCTCTGAATAATTAATTATATGTATAGTGCCAACGATAAGCTATCATTGGAAATAAAATGAAACAGAGTCCAGGATAGCAAGAAGGCTAATCATTAAGGTGGTATTTCAATTTTATAAAAGCAACTCACTTTGTGACTGTTTTATACAAGTTCTTTATAGATGTTTGTACATCTGGCCTTCATATATAAGTTCAGCATACTTCTACTAGTCCTAGATATTAGTCCTTATTGATTTGCTCACCCGCATTTAGCCTACAAAACACTGTTTTCAGATGCTATAGTTCAGCCTTTACTTTATGCTACAGAAAAGGGGAAGCACATGATATTGTTAGGAAGCTACAATATATAACCATTTTCCCAATCCAGAAAGAAAAAAAAAAAGGAAACTTAGAGGTACTAATCAAGGCTGTTTTTTTTTTTCTTTTTGGCCAAAATAGTTTCAGGCATATGCATTAAGGTTATATGTCGTCAGGAGCTAAATGTCTGTAGGCAGCACTACCAACCCAATCTTATTCACCTTTAAACCAATTCAAGTCCAATATATAGACCGTGAAGAATCCCTCTGCACATATTTGTGCAACTTTCCAGTACACCTCTCTATCTATAAATAGCATAGGTCAAACCTGAAAAATGGAGCAACATAATTGCTGGGGAAGATTCCGACTTTTCCTGTGATCAATGACATTCCTTTCAGCCAACCTTCACGGTATTTTCCCAAAACACGAATGCCTTCTCCTTTTCGCAAGTTGAGCTCATCTGGACTGTGAGCCGTATAGGAGTGCAACGCGACGCACCTGTTGAAACATAAGGGATGAAAATAAAGCACTAGGCGTTTGGAAAAAAAATAGTTTCATTTATGCAACATAATGAGGCTATGACACAACAATCTGCTTTCAGGCCACACCAGGAGCTTCTGTTGTGCCTTGTGCTAAACCAGAGCAATGCATCTGAAGCTTCTTTATGTAATACTTCTGTTACACAATCTGGAATGCTCCAGTGAATAACGAATCAAAGAACAGACAACTTTTTAAGAATAATGAATGGATCCCTAACAATATCTAAGGCATTTCTAAGTGGGTTGGTGTAACTGGCATGATGTAGTCAGTTCAAGATTAAGCTATGGGCTAGGATCCCAGATTGGAGAAGGAAAAACACAGTCCAGGACAAAAGGAGTTAAACACACATACACTTGCATACAAAAATATCATCTCCCTTTAAACACAGAATAATTGCATTGTTTATTAGCATCAGGAAATTACACATTAAGACTCAGCATCAGCTCTTTTGCTCTTAGATCTGTTGCCCAAATCCAACTATTTCCTTGACACATGACATTGCAGTAATTAGCTGCCCCAACAAACAGTGTGAGGGTTTTGTGGATCCTATAGCTTAAAAGGCCTAACATTCACATATTACTCCTAATGTTTCTTCATTTAAATTAAAAAAAATCTGTCTCTTCTGACAGTGAACTTTATTTTTCATGTCAGGTGCTTGGAAGCCAGTTTAACACACAGAGTAATTCTGGAATGAGGTTTATTTCAGTTTTAACAAAATAGTAGTATAGCATACTTATGGCAAGGGAGCTCATGGGTTTATTTTTTAATTCCTTCTAGTGTGGTCACTTTGGGCATTTTGGCCCAGCCTTCATTCCAGACCAGGGAAGAACAGGCAATAGCATCTTCTGGCCCCACAAAAATGCTATCCTTAAGAAATTAATAAGGATTATATGTACGTACATATTCAAAGATAGATGTTGCTGTAAGTGGGGAAGGCTGACAATGGCTGTAGAGTGCCCCATGGCTTCAGGGTCCACGTAACAGGAAGGGCTGACCTGTACAAGAAGAAGAAGAAGTAATGCTCAAATGAATGCCCTTCTAGTTTTCTTCCAAAGGACGTCATGAAGGTAAAACTGAATGTCTTTTAAGTGGCTGGCTAATGCATCTCATTAGCAGAATTAATTCACCCTGGGAGAAGTTATGGTCAGATATCTCCATGGACCTTTAAACAGTTTGTCACCTCTGCAGATTGGAGCTGAAGAAGAGCAAGCAATCCATCCCAAAGGCAGAGAATGACTAGTCTCCCTGTGAGACTTCAAATATGGTATCCTTTGAGGTTCCTATTTGTCACCCGCTGTGCTCAGTGTGCAGAAAGCCACTGGAGATGATGTGGTTATTAAGCACAAGATTGAGTGACCTATGTATATTGAATAAACCTCTGTGTATTGAATAAACTGTATATTCTTACAGTTTAGGAATTATTTGAATCCCGTTGGGCTCAGCATTTGAGTTTCATTGTTTTATACATGTTAATTTAATATATGTGGGCAACTTGCAGATCATGTGCATTGGTCCCAAGTGCCACACCTCAGAACCTCCAAGGACGTCTGAAACTTGCTGGGTCACACTTCTCAGCTTTTTCCCCATTGTTTTAAAGTTCCTTTTTTAAAAGGCGTAAAACAGGCCCTTTAAGCCTGGCAGGCATACTTTCACTCCTTAAGCGTGCATGCATGCATGCGCACACACACACACACACACTTACACATCCAACTGTACCATCAAAAGTATTTAGCTGATGGGTGTGTGTGTGTAAAAGGGTGAAATGGATTTATTATTTATTTGCCAGATTCATATGGCTGCCCATCTCACATAAGCAACTCTGGGCGGCTAACACAATAAAAACATCACTATAATAACGGATGCAATATATGACACACATAAAACAAAAGAAAAATGGCCACTGAGGCCATTTATTTGAACTCTTAAGCTCTGTGGAGACCCCTGAACTGAAGTATGGCCTCTAAATGCAAGAAAATCCCCCACCCCTTCTTTAATTGTCCTTGTGAGGATATAGATCATAGGAACCAGTTGTGTCTTTAATGCCATTTCGTATTCCTATTAAAGTAACCTATTGTGGAACTCTCCTCTTTACTTCTCACTTAGTTTTCTCTCTTTGAAGCTTCAGTGGCTTAAAACGAGACTGCTAAGTAACTTAAAATCAGTCTGCAATTTAGGTCCTTGTAATTTTCCAAGCTTTTATTGAGGTTAATGCTTTCCCTTTTGTTTTTAAAGATGATTTCATTCCCATCTTACTTTTATTGTAGGAAAAGTATTTGAGTCATTTGGATTGTTTTACTGTGTTTTATGTAAGGCTGGTCTATGACTGCAATCAAGATTTGATTTGATATATAAGGCTACCAGATCTAAAGGTTTGGCCCCCACATAAAAAAAGAGGACGGTTAGCATATTGATATATAAACACCTGCATCACATTTTTAGTTGTGTGGTCCCCAAAACCTCAGCCTTTATCTTTGGTTGGATTTTACTATTTCTTGCTTTCAATCATGTGTAATACACACACACACAAACACACACACACAGACACTCTGCTTGTATAACAAATACTACAATCGCAGCCCCTACATGGCTATGTAAAGCTGACTAGGGGACCCAAACCACCAAAGCAAAGGTGGTGTTGGACAAAAACTAAGCAAACAATAACGTAAGGGACTGTATTTTTTTTATAACAATGATGTGCTAAAGCACGATACAAATAAAGTAAGAATTAAAAAAAAACTCAGTCCTTTTCTGTTTCTCACGTATTTTCCATTAGAGTGAATCTTTTTCAGTAGAACTGAATTGTTCAGCAAATATGTATGAACATGTTTGCATTGCTATCTACTCTTTTGGCATTTGATCCCCAGCTCCACCTTAACTTCTCACCTCCCTCGCCAACCATACGCCTGGCCAAGTCTTACAATGTAATTCCTTGAAGAGGAGACTCCTGTTAGCACAACAAAGTTCAACAAAGGAGAGGAAAAATGAGAAGTTACGAAAAGGAAATCAACTTTGGCTTTGGATGTGCTGCAGCACATTTGGCTTTCCCAGAACATTCGGTTTTGAATTAGAATTAGCCTATGGTGAGACAAGCTCTTTGGCACAGGCAGTTCTTTAGTCTAGCCATTTAAAATAACTTCTGGGTACCTTGCCTTGGCAGGCCCTTAAAAAAAATGTTTTGTTTAATGGCACAGCAAAGTGCTTTGATTTAAGAAGTTTCTAATTTTTGAAAAGCAGTTACATATAAATATGTATTGCTCATTAGCCCACCTCCCAGTTTCGGTGATTTTACTTTAGGTAAGTGCAACAACTGTGATTTGCAAACCCTCAGTGAGGGCTGAGCATGCTGTACAAACCCATCGGAGCTGACCTGCTTGGTTCTGGCTTAGCACATTGTGGGAACTTAACCAATTGTAGCCTATTCAATAAACCACGATTCATTGCAATGTGCAAACCAGGTCAACACACGGTGTTTTAGATTGCAAGCTCATAGGAGCAGAGAGCTGTGCTCTTGTATGCTGTAACAGGCAAGTGCATATTGATAGATAGCAAGCTTAGTTCGCAGCAAAAATTGCACTTCCTTCTCTTAGCACCAGGACTTCCAGGTATACAACCTTATTCAGTTATTGCTCCAATAACTTCAGTCTAGAAATTCAGAGAATTCAGGGAATTCAGGAGGAGAGCTTGACTCAACTGTTATCTCTACGGTGGTGGGGTGTTTGTGTGTGTGTGTGTGTGATTCAATGAGTACCATAAAAGCAGGCAAATCTAGTCCAGTTTTGGGCCTCAGCTGCTAGTGACACTATGAGTGGAAACAGAATGTGGATATCCATTAATGATTGATTGATTGATAGATAGATAGATAGATAGATAGATAGATAGATAGATAGATAGATAAATGGGGGGTAGCTCTAAAGAAGATTTGATGACTTTGGGATGATTTTCAACGTTGTGATGAATTTCTAGAAGGAAGTTTACATATTTGTTTTCAGCGAATAAATTATGACTGGAGCAGTTATTATGGCTCGTTACTCATCCTGATAAGTATGGGATTATTTATCAGTGGTAAACAGGGCAGAAAAGTTATAAATAAATGAATTTCTTAAACAGGATTTCTACAAATATTTGACAGGATAGGCCTTTTTTGTGTGTCTCTGTGACTGGACAGTTTGTCTGACTTGGAAAGTGAATGGGTCTTGCAGTATATTTGGATAGCTTTATTTTCATCATGCTTTTGGAGATGTGCTGGACACACTGGAAGTCTCCTTCTCTGGCACAATGGAAAAAAGGATCTTTTATGTCATGGGCGCCTAATTATTCGCTGGGCATTGTCTAAGGCAGTGTTTCTCAACCTTGGCTGTTTTAAGACATGTGGACTTCAACTCCCAGAATTCCTGGGGAATTCTGGGAGTTGAAGTTCACACATCCTAAAATGGCCAAGGTTGAGAAACATTGGTCTAAAGTAAAGTAGTGACTTGAACTTTCCCTGAATTCAAAGGCTGAGTCAAATATTTTTCTCTCCAGAAGCAGAAAAACCCATCTGCACCTTTCCTGCTATTGGCCACTAAAAATACAATTAAATCACTTTTTTTTTTCTAGACAACCTAATCACCTGCCTCACTGCCTGATGCAGATGTTTGGTTTCCCTTTTCTGTAAGCTGGCATTGTGTCTACTGGCAACCACCACATTGCCTTTGCTATCCTGGCTGCTTCCAGAAAGCGAATTTTCTGTTGGCCAGCGTACCAAATCCAGCATTTATGTATGCGTGTGAACAGATGGGAAAACGCTGGCACGTTGTACGCTGGTACCATGAATACTAGCCGTGTGAACAAAGAGTACAGCATGAGATGGGGAGGGTTTTGGCAGCACTTCTAAAAACAGCTACATAATCACATAAAAAGTATCCACATGGGCTTAATAGCTAATGTTAAATGTAAGAACACGGAATTATTAGCTGCTGAGGGGCCTATTCTCTGTGAATTTAGTTAATCCCTTTAAATTTAAAGCCAACTAAGTGAGCTATCTCATGATGTGTTTTTGAATTTCTTTGTTTTGTGTACTCTGTATAGTAAACTTACCACTAATTTCCCTATGCTTAAGGCAGCTGTATGGTTCATTCTGCACTCAGCATCGAGTTGCTATATGCCCAAGGCAAATAACAGCTTGGGGCCATTTGGTCAGAAACATCTTTTTCTCTCCTTCCCTGGGTGTGCGTAGTTTAGCCTTCTTTCCCAATATGATAGTATCAATCTGAATTAAATGACGTAACTGCTATTTGTAGTAGTTTAACATGAATGAAACTATATTGTTATTTATTTATTTCTTAAAGAGTAGCTCTGCTGGAAATGAAATTATTGTGACATCCCTTGGTATTGGAGGGTTCTTTAATAATAATCTCTAATTTCAAAACGGTTAAGATTTTACTGAAAAGCTGGTTCTTCAACACAAACCTCTATCACTTAAGCCCTCCACAATAGGAAATTTCCCTTTTTTAAAAAAAAACTTATTTCCCTAAGTTCTCAACTGATATATCCTCATACAAATAAAACAAGGATAACATTCTGAATCCTGCCTATTGTAATAGAAATATAAGCCAGGAGTTTTCTGGATAGATGTCTGACATTTCAGTGAATCTCTGCTGCTTCTACTTTCCCTGAAATAAAGTTTCATCTTGATATGGAGGTATACTTATTTATACTGCACCATCAGTTTCTACAACACATCAGAGTAATACATTCACAAAGCAGAGAGACCCTGATTCAAGGAGTTTACAGTCTAAATTCCATTAACTCCTGCCTTTTCTTCTGTGCAAGGTATTATAGAAAAGGGAAGGAAGAAGCTTGGATTGTACAATTTGATTCTTTTGACTAACGATAGCAAAGTTATTCATGGATTGGGGGAAAAAACTTCTATGTATCACGATTCAGAGAGTGACTGCTATTTTTTTAACAGGAAAATGAAGAAAATATATTATCAATGAGACATAATCCTTCTGTC